TCTTACTCTTACTCTTACTCTTACTCTTACTCTTACTCTTACTCTTACTCTTACTCTTACTTTAACAGTTATAGTAATAGTAACAAGTAAGAGTAAGAATAAGTGTAGGATAGTGAGTAAAATTAAGAGTAAATATTGACAAAATAAATGATAAAATTCTGTTTTAATTAACACTTCGCTTATACACAATGGTTTTATATTAAAGCAAAATATAAACGAGTCTCGAGTTTTGGTTCGCCATTAAATTAAAGATCAAACTTTGAACACTTTCGACTCCAATTAATATATCACATTTATCTACAAATAGTTTTGATAATTTATATCAATAGTCTTAGTAGTTGAATTCAGATCATCTTTCTGAGTACTATTGGTTCCTCCGTTAACTAAAAACATATTTCATTACTTTCCTGAACAAGAACGAGTGAGAAATTCTTCCGAATGAGTTGTGGAATGAGCGCTTCAGGATATTTATAAACAAAAACTTAGACGGGGAGTTAGTTGTAAATTGTTTCGACGTGTGTTTGGTTTTCGTATATTATAAAAAAATTATTTTTTTTTTTTGGTTAAACACCCATGCACGCAAGAATGAAAAATTCCAAAACTTTCCCTCCACATCACATGAATAATCAAAATAATTGTAACAAAAATAGAAGTGAGTTTATTATGGAAAATATATTTGAACACAGAACTACACCTTCTCGTTTAAATAACAATTTCGATTTAGACACGTTCGATAAGAAAATAATAATCATAAAACAGGAAGGAAGTATAAGGAATTCTATTTAAGTCATGCTGGATTATGCAGTGAAAAGACTATGAACTATTTTGGAATTTGTGGCGATATAAATAAATAAATCTTTTTTTCATTCTATACAATATCCTTACGTATCATTGTGCTTATAATTAAATTATTTAAGAATTTTTATTAAGTTATTCTTAAATGCTAATACTTTATTAAAATAGCCTTCCAAATTATAGTTAAGCTTTCTACTTGTAAGTATCACCTCCCGAAGAAATCATAATTTAAGACACTAGTTTTATTTTCTCAAATAACAATCTATTAACTTAAAATCCATTCTTAGCACTATATAAAAATAGCTTTTATTAAAATTTAAATATGTTACATATTTATCCGCTTATTAGATACTATGTACTTCCCCAATATGTAAAATATTAATTGAAATCTTTAAAATCCTAAATACCTCAACGACTTTTTCGTTCAAACGTGGGCGGTTTGATAAGTCTTTTGACTTTTTGAATAAACCAACTTTTTTTCGTCAAATAAACATTATATTTCTCTACATAATCACCTTTTAGCTGGATACATTTAGTCCAGTTTTTTTCTAATTTTCTTATTCCCTCCAAATAATAGGTTTCCTCAAAGCTCTCAAAATATACATTTGTTTCGATAATGACTTCTTCATTCGACTTAAATCTCTTACTGCCCAGCCATTTCTTTAGGTTTGGAAACAGAAATTAGTCGCAGGGGACTAAATCTGGAGAATATGCTGGATAGAGTAGCAGTTCGTATCCCAATTCGTGGATTTTGGCCACGAATTCTTAATCAGTACATGAAATTCACTTTTTACCATTTTTGTAAAAATTCACGAGGTTGTCTGCTTTGAACGGCTATCAAACACCAACTGAACGACGTAGCTTGCTCAAAATTAAAAAGTTGCCCACTGGTAGATTACAGCTGACGGCACCATTGTTGCATTTGGAGTAACTGCGCGGGAAATTCAAAAAGTCACTGACTTATCAAACCGCCCTCGTATAATAGTATGTTCCCACTGCTTTCGTTAAAGTAGTTTACTGATTAACCATATACACAGAACTTTTGTTCTTTTTAACTTAGTTAAGAGTAAATCAAGGGATATCATACCAAAAAATGTCAAATACTACTTTGCCAATAATATTTCCCGAAAGGGAAATGATCGAATTTTGACTTATTTCACACATTAAATAAAATGTTAAAAAACAAAAAAAAATAACTTAAACAAACAATGGATAAGAATTTTTTATGTGTGATTTTTATAAATGAAATATATAATAAATATATTAAATAAATAAATGAGTTTATATATGAGTTATAAATGAGCTTTTACTAATAAAAGAGTTCAATATAAATATATATTTGTTATCAATATACAATATCATATATTATTTACCAAAAATACTCAATTTAGTTACATATTAACAAAAGTTCTGCTAGAACTTTTTGAAACTTAAAAGCTTTCACATGCATAAATCAACTTATGCCAATGGAAACGACCAAAACTTAATTTGATTAACATAAATTGTTTTTATTGCAATGGGAACATGATATAAGTTAGTATGTTAATATAGTATAAGTAAAATATAGGCATAGCAAAGTATGTTATAAGTATGGTATAGAACTATATTATAAGTACAGTCTAAAAGTATGTTAGTATTTAATTAGTATGTTATAAGTATAGTATAAGTATAGAGTAAAGAAAGCACAAGTCTAGTGTAAATATAGTATGAGCGTAGTATAAGTATAGTATAAGTATTTTATAAGTATAGTATAAGTAAAGTATAAGTATATTATAAATATGGTATACGTATAGTATAAGTATAGTATAAGTACAGTGTGAGTACAGTATAAATAATTTATAAGTATAGTATAAGTATAGTAAAACTATAGCATAACTATAGTATAACTATAGTATAACTATAGTAGAACTATAGTATAACTATAGTATAACTATAGTATAACTATAGTATAACTATAGTATAACTATAGTATAACTATAGTATAACTATAGTAGAACTATAGTATAACTATAGTATAACTATAGTATACATAGTATAGGTGTAAGGAAAAATATAGTATAATATATATATTCTTGGTTGAAATATAAACGAGTACAGCTGTATTGTGTTAAAGTGGCGTGGAATAATAAGACTAAAAATGACATCCCATTATTGGCGTGTATTGATCATATATCTGTCTTCAGCTGTCTTGAGAGCAAAAATGGTACGTAAATACACAGTTAAGACTCCTATAAGAAGCCTAAAGTATGCTTAAATAGCATGTTAAAAAGTTTTTCTAGACTATATGACACAATGGTTGTTCAAGGAATATTTTCTATAGTCATTTTCAATCTTTTACTTAATTTCAGGATATTTACGCTCTTTCAAAATACTAATATAAGTGCTGTCACAACTGTACTATTAAATTCAACTAAAAACGAACAATATAAAATTATATGTTTACGTTCAATTTAATCAGTAATGAAACATTTCTTTTGAAACAGTTCTTGTAACTAATTGAACATCTCATTAACACTAATGAAAAGACTACTTCTTTGCCTTAGCCAGAGCCTTAGCCTTCGCCCTTTCTTTCCTAGCTTTTTTCTCAGCCTCCTTTTTAGCTTTTTTTGCTAATGCTTCCTCAAGCATCTATAATCAATAGTATACTAATTAAGTAAAAATTATCAATATTAAGTAGATTATTTTGACCTGTTGTCTCCGCGCTGCACGCTGTCTTCTAATATATTGCTCACGTCGGAAAGCATCAAGTTCACGTCTCATTTCTTTCAACCTTAATTCCCGAGTTTTTTTTGTGTCCTTCATTTTTTCTATGTTGATCTTATAATCGGCAATACTGTAATCAAGTTCATCAAATTCGACTTCATATTTTTGGGACATAATACCCAGATATTTCTTGCATTCCTATATATGTGAAAAGAGCAATTTTAGATATATGAGTGAGAGAACTTAAATTTTGTATATTTTTTTTTAGAAAAGTTTTAGATAAGAAAAGTTTAGGCTTGTTAAATCACATTGTACGGAAATAATAATGAATTGTTATAAGTTTTTTTTTTGTTTTAACCTTTTAAGAAATCTGAAAAAGGATTTTTTCTCAAAATATGTAACAAAACATATTAGTTGCTAAGAAAAATTAATAGTAATAGACCCACTTCAGACTGCAAATAATATGCATCCATTATGTTCGCATGACACATTGTTCTATCCATCCGATCCTGTTTATATTTTTCAATTGCTGTTTTAATGTCCCTTTCAGTTTTATAGAATTCGTATTCAGCTAGTTCAGCTTGTGCATATACGTCCAGTATTTCCACTCTTAATTCGATAGGATTCACAGCTAATAACGATAATTAGTTATATAATTAATATTATTAAAAACAATTAAATTTACCCTCAAAATTGAATAGTTTAAGATAAAGTCTTTTCTTTAACGCGTCAGTTTCCCTATTTTCTTGAAAAATGGACCGAGCTAGGTAATTATCATCCAACTGTTTGGCTTCAGAAGAATTCTTGACAACTTCTTCGTTCAGAGTTTCTGTTATACTAAGAAGACTGTAAGCCGCTCTAAAAGTACAGGTTTTTAATATTTAACTAAATCATAAGTAATAAATCCTTTACTTTATAAATTCAAGTCCCTCCTCATAGTTTTCCGATTCACCTAAATTTGACAAAAACAAAAAATAACGCACTGCCTCTTCCATATCAAATCTGAATTTAACTACATTTAAGAAAGCTGGTGCCACATTCATTTCCAACAGTTCTAACCATACAGCATTATCATTTCGGCGTATAGAATACTCTTCAGGGCCCCAGCTAAACAAAAAATTTGGATTTTCGGCTTCGGCAACTAAAGGATTATGAATCATTATCTTGTAAGCGAACTTTATTTTACTAAGAAATTCGTTTCGAACTATTATGAATCCCATTTCCGCTAAATATTTAAAAGGACGAATTAAGTCAATGTACAAATCTTCATCCGACAGAGATACAAGCTCCACTTCGAGATCTGCTCGAGCTTCTAATATCGGCTTTTGTTTATTTGGATCTATTACTGGAATAATCGATTCACAAACACAACTGCATGGTGGAATCTCCGGTATAACAGGTGTGCATAGTAAAGGTGTCTTGTTAGTTGAAATCATGACTTTCTTTTCCTTTTTTGGGACTTTTGGAACAAGCTTAATAGTTTCAGGAATTGGGTCAGGAGCAGTTTCATGGTCTTCAGAGCGATCAAGTATTACAATTTTCTGAACCTTCTCGTACTTATCATTTGCTTCTGATACGTCGCTTTTCTCAGAAGTGCCAGTTTCTTGAGATTTATCTAAAATATCGCTCACAACTATTTCAGCCATTTTATTTTAAAGCAGATTAACTTAGTTAAAAAAATATATTTTACATATGAAAACAAACTGAAATTAAGAAACTTTACACGAAAATTCTAGATAACTTTGATTTTTCAAAGAATTTAATTTCAAGAATTTTTATTTTAATAAAGCAAAACTTGAGTATGAAGTTTGATTAAATCAATATATTCGGCTCCTTGAATAAAGATTTGTATATATTTGAATATAAATGGCAATGCTCTAAGAAATATAGAGAGTGATATAAGCTTATGAAATTCTTAAAATATGATCTCAAAAATACTGCTTCCGTTTTCTTCTAATAAATTTAAGACACCATCTATCTACTTTTTAGCTGACTTCGTATGGCTCTCTTAACAGAGGTGTGGTCTTATTAATACACGCACATAGATATAGTCTATATAGTCATTCCCCTACGTATATACTTTAGACATGTGTCCTTCTTCGGCATACGTGAATGTATTGAATGTTTTTTTTCTACTTCTCATTCTGTAAAATGACAAAGCATATCCTTAAATGTTGTCATATATATTCCCTTATTATCGGCATAAGCGCGGATGTCACACAATAATGGATATTAAGACCAACATATGTTCACCACCATAAATACTATTTTAATTAATATCTGTCAAATCTTTATGTATATAATATATATATATCAGAGACAGAGCTTTAAAATTATTCACTAAAGTTAAAACGCTACTTAACCCCCCGTCCTAACAATCCTCAAGTCCACTTCTGGATTCTCATGAAGGTATGCTGATTTAAGATCCGTCATCAACTAAAAGACAAATAAATGATATGATTTCTTAGCCTAGTTAAAGCCTAGTGTGGGATAGTGATAAGCCCCCCAGCCATTACAGAGTAAAAGTGCGTAATATCACTAACTCAAGAACAAGAAGAAGAAGAAGAAGATCTGTAATCGATTTCTTGCACTCATATTAAATATTTTAAAATAATGTTACTATTTAAGATCTTTTAATGTTAAATAGTTTAGACTAAATTCGGTAATGCTAACTACAATAAAAAAGTTGTTCGTAAGATCTTTGATTCTCTGCAAGTCTGCAAGTTGCCGACGACGAAGTTGAGGGAGCACTAATCGGACTTAATGTACGATATTTTAGAAGGCGCGCATACAGAAGAGGCGCATAAAAAAACATGCTGCGTTATCTCAAAACCCGGTAATGGAATTTTAAAGTCGTTTAATTAATTATGTTAAGTACAATATTATTATTCAAATTATTCAAACTCTCAGTTACTTACTCAGTTGTAAGCCATTACATATGTGAATCGTACTTTGCCGCTTCAAGTAGTCTCCGCCAGTCAGCCCAATCAGTTAATTCCTGTCGCAAGTTTTTAGTACTTGCGACTCTCAAGTCGTTAGTCATGTGGTTTTTCCACCGAAGATGCAGATGTCCTCTATCACATTTTCTACTTGCTGGAACCAAATGTAATACTTTTCTATCTAGAGCATTTTCCTTCATTCGTACGACATAATCAAGCTAGCGAAACCTTGGTTATGCGGTATAGCTCATTCGATACGTAAGTGACCATAGATCTTCCGATAATTTTTTTTCTCCCGAATGCTCCTAACGTCTTCTCATCACTGTTGGTATTTATTCAAGCTTCTGCACTATACAACAGGATAG